CAAAATATTTGATGCAATAAAGAATATAATAAAATAAATAAATTTCAATAATAAGTTAGACTGAAGTTAAAGAACGTACGAAAAACGCTTATTACAACGTATTTTTTAGTGCAGTCTTTACCGGCGGGTGTGAATATAGGTGGTGAGAGTTTACGAGCGAGATGAATAGAGATGACGCCATTTGGATCCCATTATTTAACCGCACGGGTAGTACAATTCTAACTCTCTTGCAACGTGGTGTATTAGCAACAGCGGTCTTGACACTTAAAATAATTTAATATATAATAGTTAGTTACGTCTTTATATTTATTATTATTTTATTTTTATTTATTTGCCATCGAATGTTAACTTATGACAAATATAATAATATAAATAAGTTAAAATTAGTAATATAAATAAATAATAATATGATTAAGTTATACGGTTCTATCTTCTGATTATTCTGTAGCGACCAAATGTACATTCCTTTAAAAACAAAATTTCTTGGTTGTATTGAGTCTGGCTGTCAGTCTATCTGAACGACAAATCCTTTAAAATTAGGAGAGTCCTATTGTATATGACCTATAAATGATTGTTTCGGGTCTGGCTGCTTATCTATACGTAATTTTTGTATATAAATACACCTCCGCGTTAAAGGAAAAAAATATTTTGTTTTATTAACTTTTTTTAAAGGACAATAGTTTTCAAATATATATTACGATAAGAAAAAGGAACATATACATTTTTAATATTGATAGAAAACTTTTACAGAATTGGATACAATATTTCGATAACACAACGCGATGAAAACCCTTGTGGGACCAACTCAATTTGTTTGTTTTCAACTTTATTTGAGTATGTGTTTATAGGGCATTCTGGAAAATAAAAATATGTAAATATCGTCATCATCATCATTACAGCCCTTCACAAGTCCACTGCTGAACATAGGCCTCCCCCAAGTAATGCCACAAAGCACGGTCCTGAGCCACCTGCATCCATCGACTTCCTGCATATCTTACCAGGTCGTCACTCCATCTAGTGGGGGGTCGCCCTACACTACGCCTACCGGTACGAGGCTGCCACTCGAGAACCTTTCTTCCCCATCGGTTATCGGTTCTTCGAGCTATATGGCCGGCCCATTGCCACTTCAGCTTACTAATCCGTTGGGCTATGTCGGTCACTCTGGTTTTACTGCGGATATCCTCATTTTTGAGTCTATCACGCAGAGAAACTCCGAGCATAGCCCTCTCCATAGCTCGCTGAGCGACCTTGAGCGTCCTCATACGGCCAGCAGTGAAGGACCACGTCTCAGATCCGTAAGTCATCACTGGCAACACGCACTGGTTGTACAATTTAGTTTTTAGAGATTGAGGTATACCTGACGAGAAGATATGTCGTAATTTCCCGAACGCTGCCCAGCCGAGTTGAATCCGTCGTTTGACCTCTCGGTCGAAGTTGGACTTACCTAGTCGGACTATTTGTCCCAGGTAAACATACTCGTCAACAACTTCGAGCATAATGCTCCCAACAACTACCGGCATAGGTGTGACATGGACATTAAACATGATCTTTGTTTTGTCCATGTTCATCTTAAGACCTATCCGTTGGGAGGCACTATTGAGGTCATTGAGCATAGTGCTTAAGTCCTCCAGCGATTCTGCCATAAGGACTATATCGTCGGCAAATCGAAGGTGAGTGATGTACTCGCCATTGATGTTAATACCGTATCCTTTCCAGTCCAGTAGCTTGAAAACGTCTTCCAGCGGTGAAGAGTTTCGGGGATATAACGTCACCCTGTCTTACACCTCTCTGCAGTTAGATAGGTTTCGAGCTCTGGTTCTGTACTCGGATAGCCATCGTAGCCCTACTGTACAAACACTTCAGCACTTCGATATACCGACAGTCAACTTGGCACCGCTGAAGGGATTGCAGCACCGCCCAAATTTCAACGGAATCAAAGGCTTTCTCATAGTCCACATACGCCAGGCAAAGTGGCAAATTGTACTCTTCAGTCTTCTGTACAATCTGCCGCAGGGTATGTATGTGGTCTATGGTACTGAAGCCTTTTCGGAAACCGGCTTGTTCGGGAGGCTGGAAGTCGTCGAATATGCGTGCGAGACGATTCGTATTGACTCTCGAAAACAGCACGTAGACGCGGCTCAGAAGGGAAATGGGTCTGTAGTTCTTCAAGAGAGCGTTGTCGCCTTTCTTGAAGAACAAAACCACCGCACTTCTGCTCCACGCCTCTTGAGTAGTGCCACCATTGAGGACGGAATTGAAGAGCTTCTGAAGGACTTCCAGTACCGGTGTTCCACCCGCTTTCAGAAGCTCCGCTGTAATTCCATCCTCGCCTGGGGCCCTGCCGTTTTTAAGGTGCTGGAGAGCCATTCTAATCTCGCTTAGACTGACGTCCGGGATATCATCGGAATAGTGTCGGATAAGACTTGCTCTTGGATCGTTACTCACACTTGCGTGTGGCTCCAACGATGATGTGTACAGCTGCCCATAGAACCTCTCAATCTCACTCAACATCTCAGGTGTCCTGGAAACGATGCTGCCACATTCAGTCTTCAGCTTTGACAGTTGGCTCTTTCTGGCAGACAGATCTCTGGCAAAGACTTTGGAGCCCTGGTTCCGCTCGATCGCTTCTTTAATACGAGCAGTATTAAAGTTGCGTAAGTCTCGCCGCATGCATTTGGAGATCTGTCTGTTCAGTTGCCTGTATGCTGTCAAATCTGTTGACGATTGCAGCCTCATCTCCCGTCTAACAGCCATGAGATTAAGAGTGTGATCGGAGAGTTTTTGTGTTCTTCTGCGGTGGGTCTTGCAGAACTTAGCTCTGACCGCATGGACAGTTTCCACGAGCTTGTCATTCATATCGTCCACTGCATTGCAATCTTGTAGGCACTGAAAGCGGTTGTGTAACTCGAGCTGAAAGTTTTCGGGATTCTGGATTAGAGCACGAGGGGGGACGGAGTGTTGACTTCATTAGACGAGACCTCTCCAACTTAACGTTTAGGTTCAGTGTGCATCTAACCATTCGGTGATCGCTGCCAGTTTTCACCCTTGCGATCACTGAGACATCACTGAACAGTTGGCGTCTGGTCGTCATAATGAAGTCAATCTCATTTTTTGTCGAACCGTCGGGGCTCGACCAGGTCCACTTCCTGTGGGCCGCTTCTGGAAGAAAGAGTTCATCATAAAGAGTCCCTCTTTCTCCATAAAGTCGGCCAGCTGCTGGCCCCTTCGGTTCCGTTGCCCTACTCCAAATTTCCCTAACTTCAGCTCACCGCTTTCTCTTGTGCCTAGTTTTGCGTTGAAGTCTCCCATCAACACCTGTCTGTAGATTTGCCGGCATAAAGTCATTACCGTAGAATCGCCGAAACACCTCACTATGGACACCTCCACGTTATAGGATAACGTGGTCGTACATGCGGTTGCTCATCACGAAGTCCAGGGATCGAATCCCAATAAAATCAAGCCAAAAGCGTTTTCTTGACATGATGAATTCGGCCTTATACAGGATTGTTGGTGGAGCGTTAGACAAACTTGGGGTGTAGGTAGACCTATTTTTAAAATAAAAATTGAAGTAGAAGACCCTAACTGTTCACATTTTTTAATGTTTTTTTTTTCGTAATTTTCTAATATTTTCCGAATTTTACCTCTTTACCTCTACAATTTTTTCGTACATGTTTTCGATTGAACTTGTTATTTAATTTTGGTTCCAGATGTATACTAGTTCTATCGAAGGTATTGCTAATCCAAAATAATGAGTAAATATTAGTTATGGGCTCTCAAAGTTAATAAAATTAAAAATTTTGTTTTAAAGTTCTTTTAAAAATTTTCGCTTATTACATCGGTGTATTACATGTAACAGAAAGGTCTATCAACTTGTCAAAAATTAACACACAAGGGGAAAATGGAGTGAAAACGCTAAAAATAAAATCATTGTAAATATCACTTCCCTATTTCTAATACAACGGTAGCTACGCTAAATTAGTAAAAATTACCTTCAATAAATTATAATTTCTTATCACACCAAGGCATGTCTTCGAAAAAGCAGCCAATCGATAATTGTAATTGGTGCGAGGCTAACATTCCAAGAGCAGGTAAAAAAGCTTTTGTTTCGCTTAGTACATTGTGCCGCATTCTGCTGTCTCTTTCTGTCATGAGATAACTCACAATCCACGCCTGTAGCGGTACTGTGGCTCCCGGTATGTTTAAATATTTAGTCGTGATTTGATTGCGGTTACTATGAAACGAATCATAGCAGTGTTCAAAGTTGCTATATGGCAATCACTTGCTTAATGCTATATGCTTTATATTTTAAGCAAGCTATTTTATATGCTTTATTATAAGCATGCTTTTTATAAGCGTACTGCGACTGCGACGTCTGCGACTGCGTACGTGCGACCATGCGTAGGTATAGGTAGGTACCTACTTTTACGGGCGCCAAACGAGCGGGAGCGACTTTAGGTAGCAACCGCGGTGCGTCGCGTTTATGAATTTATTACGATACGGAGCAGTAAAAAAACAATGAACTTTCCTTCATACTTTTCAGGCTAAGGAGTGTCTATAATTAATTAAGTGTTATGATGAAATAAAGTATATTAGTATTTAATTAAAGCAATTATAGGCGTACTTAAAAGTTCATTGATTGTATTTACAAAAATCAACTATATACATATAATATGTACATATTTTAATTTTTTTCCTTTTTTATTTACACTATTTACTTTAAGTTTTTATTTACACTGTTTACTTTAAGTTTTTATTTACATTTTATTTACATGAAGAAACATTATCTGTGCTACTCTCGTAGTAGACAATCGTGTTCTTCGATCACTAATAAGATACCCCGACTTGGAAAATATACGTTCGCAAGGAACCGAAGTCACCATGATATTGCAATGTTTTATAAATAAGGTATACAATTCGGGGTAAATGAATTTATGCTCTCGTCAGTATTTAAAGGGACATTCTGTTCTCTTAATTAAATTGTCCGCTAAATATTTTTCCAACTATTCGGAAGCCTGGACATCTGAGGGTTTAGGTTGAAACTCTTTGTTGGCTTCGCTGTCAAATTCACACCACAAACTGTATGTTGGCATGTCGCATCCGAAAATTTGGGACGGAACAGGATTTACAGCTGATGTCGATGGTACAGGTTGAACTTGTTCTGAATTGGTTGATTGCTGGTTTTTTTTATTTATTTCGTTTGTAATTTTCATTTTCAATATATTTTTAAGGACTTCAATACGTGCTGTGTCTTTTATGGCTTTTAATTTAAATCTAGGGTCCAAAACTGTGCTCAAACTTATTGTATCATTTTTTTCTAAACTTCCCAATTGTTTTGTCATACCCTCTTTTAACTTATGTCAAGTTTTTTTACAGGTGGGTATAATTCTTGCAACATGGTGTAATTGGCGCATATGATTATGAGGCTTGAAGTTAAAATATTCGCCTTACTGGAGACAAAATAATTTTCAGCACTCATTTCGACAGTGGCTTCGTAAAATGATTTCAGTATGACACAAATTTATTCAATACATTTCCACTCTTCCATTGGTATTATTGGAAGATCGGTTCCTAAATTAGGAATGGTGGCACGCAACGCTTCTCCTATCTCAACGAACCTTTCCAGCATTAGGTACACAGAGTTCCATCGTGTTGGAACCGATTTTATTACAGATTTGGGTTGGTTTATGTTCTGTTGGTTTGATTGGTATTTTAATAATTTTTCTTTTGATATAGTGCTTTTTCTGAAGTGGTTTACAACTCTTTGCACTTCCTCTATTGTGTCTTTTATTTCGGCAAGTGCATCTTGAACGACGAGGTAAAGTTTATGGGCATAACATCCAAAATGAACCCAGCCATCAAGTTCAAAATATCTTGCGGCACTCTCCATGTAATGCCTCCATTATCAGTGACAAAAAAATTGACTTTGTCGTAAATGCCCCAGTTTTCTAATAAACTTTTCAGCTCCCTATATACTTTTATGCCTGTTTGGTGCCCTTCTGATTCGCCACATTGAATTAGTACCGATTTTAATTCTATAGGGTCTTCCGTCATAAAGTGCGCTGTTATACCCATATAACTATCCATAGTGCGGGAAGTCCAATAATCAATGGTAATGCACACTGATTTTGCATTCATCTGGACGAATGATTTGAGTTCTTCTAGCCTCTTCTCATAAACTTTTGGCAGAAGATTCACTGATAAAGTTTTTCGGTCCGGTATTTCATAATTCGGAATCAGTGCATGCGTGTGCGCACGAAAACCTACGTCCTTTACTATTGAAAAGGGCTGAAAATCATATACGATCATTTTTAAAAAGTTTAAATCTATTTTGTTCTTATCGTCTGGTTCGAGCCTTTTTGGAATATATGCTTGCATAGTTCTCTGAATTTTTTTAGGAGGTTCATCACAATTTATACGCCTCCCCATCTCTCCACTACCACTGCATACAGCGTTCCTCTTCCTATTCCCATCACCAACATTTTCCACATGCAAACCTTCGACTTCAGACAAGGGAATGTTACTCACTGTTTCAGGTGCTGCTGACTCGAGGGTTTTGCCAAAACTAATTAAATTATTGTACACCGAAAGGTGTTTTTGTTTTAAATTTGTAACACTCGTTTTAAACGACAACTCTCGACGACAGTAATTACATGTAGCAGTTTTACGGCCATCAACGGGCTTATCAAAAAAGTTCCATATTGGCAAATCACTGTTCCTTCTAGACATTTCGTTATTATACCTACACACAAAACAACAACACGATTTCTCACTCTGTCCTTACTTGCACAATTATAGCTAATAAATATTAAGGTGTCCTATCACTGTTTAGTAAAGTAAAGTAAAGTTACAGCCTATATACGTCCCATTGCTGGGCTCAGGCCTCCCCTCATTTCTGAGAGGGTTTAGGGCAAGGAAGTGTCCGCCGCGCTGCCCAAATGCGTGTTGACGAACTTCACATGTCTTCGAAATAATTTTTTTCTTATTCCTCAGACATGCAGGTTTCCTCACGATGTTTTCCTTCACCGCCGAATACGTGGTAAATCAGCACTTAAAATTGCAATAAACAATTTCATTGGTGCCGGCGGGGATCGAACCCGGGTTACTCGCGTTCTGTTATATTTACAGCGAGCGTTAACGACTGAGCTACCACGGCTCAATCACTGTTTATTTACACTAAAAAGCACGAAGTAAAATAATATTTACATATATTATATTACGTGAGCCGCCCGAGATCGCGGATTAGCAAAATCGCAAGCGGTGCGTAAAACGATTACTTACTCACTTACGCGACCGAAAGCAATCTCTATCTCTAGCATACGAAGACTGGCCGCCGCGATGCTATTGCTTTCTTTCATGCTTTGCGATTTTGTGATGCGCGACTGACAGAGACAGAGAGTGCGATGTAAAAAAGCATTAAGCAAATAGCAAATAGTAGTTAAAATTGGTATAATAAGAGCAACGAAAATACGCTGCTATATTTACTCGAAGAAAAAATGCACAAAAGGCACCAACAAACGTGTTTTGCCCACAGCACATTTTCTAATACCTTTCGGCAACTTCAGAAAACGAGAAACTTGACCCTTCCTAACCTTCTTTGTTTAATGGTAGTTGAAAGGGTCTATGCACTACAGTGAGTTTCAGATAGATTGTTAGCGTAACCTCTATCTGATACCCACTGTAGTTATAAAAAAAAGTAAATCTACCTCACCATTTTTTCGGTACATAAGCATAAATTGATATTACTGAGTTTTAACATTTATTCAAATAAATTGCTTTTACTGTATATCTCCTGTTTCCACTCACACATTCACTAATTTAGTTTTTCGAGTTTTAAAATTCTACAGCAGGGAGTTCACATTTGTTTTCAGTGTTCTTTTTATAGAATAACTTTTTAAGCATTTAAATTTGTAAAAAGTCTTCGTAATTGATACATTTTTTAAATCAGTTTTCAATTACATAAAGGACATAGCAAAAATATATATAATCGAAGCTGAAGACCGAGTTGTCGTTTCCGTGACACCTAAAATTTAAGTGAGATTGAGTGGTAATAGGCAGCTGTACACCTCATTGTTGGAGCCACACGTAAGTGTGAGTAACGATCCAAGAGCAAGTCTTATCCGACACTATTCAGAAGTGAGGTAGTTTTGTTCTTCAAGAAAGGCGACAACGCTCTCTTAAAGAACTCCAGACCGATATCCCTTCGAGCTGCGTCTACGTGCTGTTTTCGAGAGTCATTACGAATCGTGTCACATGCAGACTTGACGACTTCCAGCCTTCCGGACAAGCTGGTTTCCGAAAAGGCTTTAGCACCATAGACCTCATACATAACCTTCGGAACATTGTACAGAAGACTGAAAAGTACTATCTGCCACTTTGCCTGGCGTATGTGGACTATGAGAAAGCCTTTGATTTCGTCGAAATTTGAGCGGTGCTACAGTCCCTTCAACGGTGCCAAGTTGACTGTCGGTATATCGAAGTGCTGAAGTGTTTGTACAGTAGGGCTACTATGGCTATCCGAGTACAGAACCAGAGTACGAAACCTATCCAATTACAGAAAGGTGTAAGACAGGTTGACTTTATATCCCCTCACTCTTCATCGCTGCATTGGAAGACATTTTTAAGCTACTGGACTGGAAAGGATACGGTAATAACATCAATGGCGAGTGGATCACTCACCTTCGATTTGCTGACGATACAGTCCTTATTACAGAATCGCTGGAGGACCTAAGCACTATGCTCAATGACCTCAATGGTGTCTCTCAACTGATAGGTCTTAAGATGAACATGGACAAAACGAAGATCATGTGTAACGTCCATGTCACACCTATGCCGGTAGTTGTTGGGAGCACTAAGCTCGAAGTTGTTGATGAGTATGTTTACCTAGGACAAATAGTCCGACTAGGTAAGCCCAACTCCGGCCGAGAGGCCAATTGGCGGATTCAACTCAGCTGGGCAGCGTTCGGGAAATTACGACACATCTTCTTGACAGCTATACCTCAAAACCTGAAAACGGGACTGTACAACCACTGCTGGTAGTATAAGGACACTCAAGGTCGCTTAGCAAGCTATGGGAAGGGCTATGTTCGGGGTTTCTCTGCGTGATAAACTTAGAAATGAGAATATCCGCAGAAGAACCAGTCCGACCGACATAGCCCAACGGATTAGTAAGCTGAAGAGGCAATGGGCCGGCCATATAGCTCGAAGAACCGACCATCGTTGGGGAAAAAAGTTTCTTGAGTGGCAGCCTCGTAAGTGTAGGATGACGCCTCACTAGATGGGGTGACGACCTGGTAAGACATGCAGGAAGTCGATGGATGCAAGTGGCTCAGTTCCGTGCTTTGTGGCATTCCTTGTGGGAGGCCTATGTTCAGCAGTGGACTTGTGAAGGACTGTAATGATGATGATGATGATATTCTTCTGGTGTTGTGATAATGTTTGGGTTATTCGTATTTTACGAATATTAATCTATATTTTAAAATCTGCGTATTTCGAAATGAATATACCGAGCTTTATTTAATGTAGGTAATAGTTCCAAATACCTCGGTAGAAGATAATATACCAAGGGTAACTTATTATTAAAGATATATAATGAACTTTTATATTTAAACTGAACTTTATAGATATATAATGAACTTTTATTTTGATGATAACACAATTTTATTTTAGTTTTTGTATGTCTCCTAACCAATACAAAATGTTTCTGAAGATTATAAAGTCGTATAATTTTAAGAAAAATGTTTGATTATTTTGAACTATTTCAAAGTTGCATCTGGCCGGATTATTCCAATATTGTCGCTGATTTTGTCGCTGGTGTGGAACTTCAAGAAATGGCCCTTTTTTCCATCATCTGTTTTTTCCATCGGAGGTAGATCCCAGCTATGGTTTTATCGCTCCTATAAAATTGCATCTCGCCATAAACAGGAGTGCTACCGGACCTGGGCTGACACATCGATGTCGCGAGATGCAGTCACCAATTAGAAAAGAAGAATAATTATTAAGTATAATTTCGTTTCCAGGTCCTTCAAAAAATATCTCTCCCCGTACGTCAACAAGTCGAGCGATGGAGTTTGACATATTATACTGAAGACATGTGCTCCGGAGTGGGCACCGGTTCTAAAGCGTCTTCTCCAGTAATCCTACTAGGCGTAAGCATAGTCCCGAATTCATGAACAATAGCTTTAGTATACCCGATACTTAAAATGGCGACAGTTCAGACCCGTTATACTACAGGCCTATTAGTTGATTTATACCTTCATGTGCCCCAAAACCATGGAAACCATTATAACCGCCAGTACTGTTTTCGCTGAGGTCATTCAGGTGGTGATCGCCTACTGTACCTGACTACAAGATGATGGATGCATTAGAGTCCTAGAGGAAGACCTTGGCTGGTAATTTGGCCATATACAACACACACATATATATATCGAATGCCTTCGATTGGGTTTGGCACAAATCGCTTCTTCCGAAGCTTCGTTCGTATGGGCTTCCCAAAAAATTGTGCTATTGGAACACCAGTTCTCTTGCAGATCGGAACATAAGAGTTCACAAGACTGCGTGCTAACAACTCCGCTGTTTATTTTGCATATCAATTATATCTTACAAACCAGTAACATTCATTATTATACGAATGACAGAACAAGTGATATATTTACACCTGCCGTAGCAAAGTTTCTCGGGAACACGTCGCCGAGTACCAGAACAAACTTGTATCTATAGTCGAGTCTTTGTTAAATAAAGAGTCGGTCTCTGAAGACACAGGTTTGAGTGTTCACCGCTGAAAAGAACTCATTTGTTGTTGCTCTTCAATTTCAGGGCTTCTTCATTCTCAGCTTCGACTTATCGAATGACGTACATTTCCGCGGTCAATTGGAAGGGAAGGCCAAATTGGCTTCTATAAAACTTGGCGTGCTCAGCAGAGCAGAACATTATTTCATGCTGGCACACAGCTTGTACCTTTACAAGACGCAGGTTCAACAATCTGGGTTACACCCACCAGCTTCTTCCACTTGACCGCATCCAGCGAAGAGCGACTCGAATAGTTAATTATCGATTTCTTTCTGATCGGCTCCATTCACTGACGCTGCAAAAAGAACTTGAAAAATTCTTTGGATTAATTCCAGCGGCCATATTCCACCAAAGCACATCTTGACAAAACTCACGATACCATCTGCACCATCTGGATGCTTGGTGGTCTACCACTGTGCGATTCACTGGGAGTTTTCTTCCTTTCCACAACTTTTTTGTGAAATTATCCATCAGGTGAGTAATATGCTCGTTTGCCCTCTTTACTACGTATAAAAAAGTTTATATTTTTTTAAATAATTTTAATTTATTAAGGTTACAATGTACTTGTGAATTCTTTTTTATTTTTATAAACCCGAAAATCTCTGACGATATTTGTAACTTGTGTAGGTATTTTTAATTTTATAATTAAAGGCTGTTTTCTTTCGTAAACTTGATTTTGAATCACGAAAGCTAATAAGTTTTTTTAATAAGAACAAATACTAGTGTATTTTTTTTTTGTTAAACCTAAAATTCTCATCGAATTACTAGGGCAAGATCTTATTTTTATTTGTCCTCTGGTAAAAATATCCTTGACAAAAATTAATTAATCATGAATTGGTATGACAGACATGAAGTGATATACTGAGTGAGATTTTGCAATCAGATTTTAGTAGTGATTACTGAAAATAATAAGTCTCACGTCAAAGCACGTTTTGCCTAGG